AACGGAGGGGGGGGGGTGGGGGGGGGCAGCAAGGCCGAGCAGCTGATAACGGTGGTAGGGGATAGTGGCACTGGACGGCCGACAATAGAGAGGTAGAACGGCTGACGTCTGTGCTGGAGGAGACATGGGGCAGTCATCTATTACCTATGGTGGTGGGTAACACTTCACACAAGCGGTGTCCTTAAAATTCACCTATGTCCCATGAATTCCAAATACAATGAGATTGAACTAGGTAGCGATTTCTAAATGCATTAAAATTTTACATTGCATTTGATTTTTTCTTCCGACCAAATATTAGGATTTTTAAAACCCTTACATTCTGTTTACAGTGCAATCCTTATTCCATTGATTAAATAGCAGCTTAGCAAATCTCTCTCTCTCTCTCTCTCTCTCTCTCTCACACACACACACACACACACACACACACACACACACACACACACACACACACACACACACACACACACACACACACACACACACACACACACACACACACACACACAAAACATGACCTAAAAGCTTATCATGAGGAATGAAAGTATCAGATAACTCCTTCCATCTCTGCGCCTCTTGCAGCTTTCGTCATGAATTCCAAGCATTGAAGAACGATGCAAAAGAAATTCCCTATCCAAGCTCCACTCCAACACAACCCGCTCAGACCTGTACTTCCATCGGCATAGAACCACCTCTCTTTTATTCACACAGACCCTGCCTAAGCTCCTTCAAATCCCCAATGAATGAAGGCTAAATTTGCTGCTTAAACACAGAAACTGTAAAGCTCAAAATAGTGCATCATTTTCCTTGGCTAATGTTGCCGTGATCTTCCCTTGCCTGCTCCGCATTATTGACCATGCTTTTTGAATTTAGTCAAGCATAAAAAACCTTAGAATGAAAAACATGATTTACTGAAAATAAAAATAAAAAATCAAATGAACCTCAATCCAAATTCCTATGACAACAAATGAACTCAGCAAAGCTGTGTCGTGAAATTGTGAGTATTGTGACTGTATCATGCTGACCAAGATTAAATATCATAGTAACTCGGCAAAAAGATAAGGTGCTTTATGTATGCTCATTGTCAAGAAGTACCTCATTTCTCTGTTTCTTCTCATGACTGAGAAAAGCAAGGCTAGTGTCGAAGTCTTGTTGAACAACTTTCCTGTTGGGAAAACACAATATTGCATGAAGAGCCCAAAAGTGGCACTAACAAATTACCCTAAGGAAAAAAAAAAAGAAATGCAAAGGGAGGCGTGGGTGATATAGTTCCTATATCTGGCACGTATGTAGAATAGCATCAATTTACTCTACTTTAGTAACAGCCTACAACTAATGCATGCACATACGTTTTATACAATAATTAAAATTCTAGTAAATGATACAAGGCTTCGCAGGTACTATGGATTTGCTTTTAAGTCAACATTGCAATAAGATGAAAACCAATAGAAAACAAAATATTTTCAAGAGGTGTAAGAAGAGAAATAATATTGTTTTTGACAAGTAAAAATGATCCTAAGAGAGTACCATCAATCAAATACAGACAAGTAGGACACATTCATCAAAGAGAGAACCATCAATCAAATACAGAGTTAACAATGATATCTATTGACATGGACACATAAATAATGTCCCTGGCATGTTGTAGAGGGAGCCGCAGGCTTCTTCCACGATGCCCTTTGTCTAGAACAAACCGGTCCAAACTCAGGAGGGCCGATTGGCTCTCCCACGAGGGATTAGCAACATTTTTCCATATCCCATCATAGTTATCTATGACTTATATATGTGATTCTTGCTTTTAGGTTTGAAGGTTTTTTCTTGAAACTTCTGTCGGTAAAGCCTTTTACACCCCTTTTACCCTCCTAAGGATGTGTCCTACAGTGAGAAGGTGCTCCGGTTGAAACTCATCCCGAGATGGTGTGTATCCTTCTTTCATATGTTGCCACCCCTTCCAACCCCTCTACTGCCCACTTTTGCCGCCCTTCCTGTCTACCTGCTGCTTGTCGGTGCCCCTTCTAGTCCACTTGTTATTTGTTGTGATTCCTTTGAGCCCTTTCCTTGCTTGCTACTGCTCCTATACACCCTCTTTTGCTTGTCGTCCAACGGCCAGATAGCGTTACATGCCTTACTCCCCTTGTTGTCACCACCTTACCATCGCCCTTCCGGCTTCCTTGCAGCTATTCAGCCGCAAGCCAGCCTTCTAGCTGTCCTAGACCACCTTACCACCAACAACTCTCAATTTCCACCACCTCAAACATCAATAAACTACCTTAAAACCTCACCATAGTGGGTATTTGTGTTTGTTTCATTGTTTTTCCTATTTAAAGTATCTTTGATTGTAACCTTATTTACTTTTGAGTAATAAAAATTAATTTTCCCTATTGTGATTTGTGTTAAATTCGATATTCTTTAGTATCAGAGGAAGTCTAACCCTAGTCCTAACTTAGGGTTTCTAGCAGCCCCATGCTCCAAACCTACGTCCACGAAATAAAATCTTTATGTTGTCCATTCCAGTACACTGTTCCACTACCTCCAATCCAAAGTTTAACCATGTCATAAAAGAGACACATGTTGAACTTACCCAAAAAGAGATACAGCAAAGAATCCATCAACTTCAAGAGAAACTTCCGGGGATTGATGATAAGACCTAGGGAAAATTACGTCAATCGTGATATGAAGAGTCAAATAAGAGAAAGAGATGAGAATATTTACCCCTTCCAAAGGGACGACTTCAGTGATGAGAAAAATAGACCAACACACTTTGAAATTCATTACCAGAGGACGCCGAGAGAGGAGAAGACATATGAATGACAGAAATTTCAAAATTAAATTAGATATACCGGAGTTCAAGCAGGGATGGATCCAGATAATTTCATCAAATGATTGCAGTCGGTTGAGAGAAACTTCAAGTACAAAGGGTTGTCGAAAGAAAAAAAAGGTGAAGCTCATGACCAAAATAAAAGGTACACTTCTTTGTGGTGGAAAAAAATTTGCAGAGGCAAAGGAAAGAAAGAAATGACAAGATCTACAGATGAGAGAAGATGAAGAAGATGTAGAGGGAATACTTACCTCCTCACTACCGTCAGGATATGTTCCTGGGGTCCATCACCTACATCGGAGAAACTTATCAGCAGAGTTCACGACATAATTTGAGCCGCTTCAAATAAAATGCGAGTTAGTCGAGCCAAAGAAACATACTATAGCCATATATAAAGAAGGTTTGAAGCCAACTATCAATAATGTTGTTCAATTATCAGAGACATCCCCAGTCATATTCCCTGACATGGTTGAAAAAGGAGAACAGAATCAACATTGACGAGAGGTATCTTGTAAAATTTTCAATTGGAAGCCAGTTTCAGGACCAGCTTTTGGTGTGATGTGTTGCCCATAGATGACTGTCATCTTTTACTGGAGAGATCATGGTAGTTTGATTGTAAGATTCAACATGATAGTATAGGAACACCTACAAATTCACCAAAGATGACATGCACATAACCCTTCTACTTTATGCAAAGTTCGAGATCATAGGTACCCTTGCTAGCAGAAGCAGAGATGTATTGGTAGGATTAGTCTTGGTGATGATAGAGAACCACGAGAGACAAGAGCCAACAACACACATAGGATAAACAATACAGAAAGAGTTTCAAAACATCCTATTTGCTAGCTTACCACCCCGGCTGCCACCATTTAAAAAGGTTCAGATTGTCCTTACCTCAGATGGGGCTGAACTATCCTTGGGTTCTTTTCTTTGGAAAATTCAACAGAATACACTGGGCACGAAATCCCAGTTCAAATTGATATGGTACCCCCAGATGGTTAGACCAATATGGATATTTGCTCCCAAAGTGGAGAAAACTCCTTAAGTGCTTTAGGGGATAACGTAGTCGCAATGGGATCGGTGCTTTTTGGACTGCAGTCAATAACCGCTAAACCCCAGAAGATAACAACTCCGCTACTTTTAACTTGCAGACATAAGCTTCAACGAATAAGGTCAACGCTCCCCCAATTTTGGGAGATTGACATGAGCACAAAAATAAAGTCGCAGGCTCACAAATAATGCCACTGGAGCGGCGTAGAGGGAGCTGCGGGTTTCTCCCGATATGCCCTTCATCTGGACTGAACTGATCTAGAACTAGGAGGGTCGATTAGTTCTCAAACAAGAGATTTGCACCTCCTTTCCATAGGGGGATCCGATCATAGTTATCTAAGGCTTATATATGTGATTCATATTTTTAGGTTTGTAGGTTTTTGCTTGAGATTTCTATCATTAAAGTCTTCGATGTCCGATTTCCCATCCTAGAGCTGTATCTAACAACAAGATGGAGCTACAACTATAACTTGTTCTACGGTGGTGTGCATCATTCCTTCCTCAACTTGTTGACGCCCCTTCCAAACTCTCTACTGCCTGCTGCAACCCTTACCGTTCAACAGTGTTTGCCGACACCCCTGCCAATGCACTTATTGCTTGTTGTTGCCCTTTCCAGCCACTTGTTGTCACGCCTATCCACCCTCTCCTTGTTGTCTAGTTGTCTATCAAACCTACATCCCTACTTTTGCTAACACCGCCCTCCCATTGTCCTCCCGCTTTCCTGCAGCTATCCAGCCGCAGGCCGTCCTTCCCCAGCTACCACCCGCAACTCTCAATTTCCACCACCTCAAGTAGCAACCCACCATCTTCGAACCTCGCTCTAGTGGGTATTTGTATTTTGTCATTGCTTTTCCTATTTTAAGTTTCTTTGATTGTGACCCTATTTACTTTTGAGTAATAATATTCGATTTTCTCTATTGTGGTTTGGGTTAACTCTTGTATTATCTATTTTAGAGAGCACACCAATAAGATCGTTGAACAGAGGTGCTAAAAAAAGAGTGTTCATAGAGAGTGAGTATTGTTAAAGAATCAAAGAAAGGTATCTATAAAATGTATTAATATAAAACATTGATGCAATGAAGACATGTAGTCCCAGTTGGAAAATAAGGAAGATCACAAAAATGCACAAATCTATGAGAAATAAAAGAGTCCAAAGTGCCTCGGCGGTTAACAACAATTTGTATGGGTTGGTTAGCAACGAAGAGGCCAATATCATGAATGGAGGTGAGTATGGGACACCTTACTAGGAATAGTAATTGCAAAGTTTGAACACTAGAAATACAAAGACAAATAAATTAATGAGGTGCAAAATATGACAATGATAATCTTCATCAGCAAAAAGACACATTCATAGAAAGGAAAGATGAAGATTTGCATAGCTAAGAATAAGGGACTGTCAAGGAAAAACTAATAGGTTTTTATTTGCAAAGTATGTTAACGAACAAGTTGGAAGGTTTCAAGATAAGGTCACAATAGAGTTTAGAGGTGGAGCAGGCAAAAGGCAAGATTGGTGAGCTACAACACAACAACATCAACTAGTGTTATCAAAGTGCAAAGCACAATGTGATGCACAAGATTTTAACCCAAAAGCCAAAAGGCAAGATTGGTGAGCTACAGCACAATGTCACTGACTACTAATCTTAAAATTTTCATAATTAGACTTGTAACCCTAAAAGTGTAAGACACATCATTCCTAGAGCTAGATTTAAGAATGATCTTAGGCTTTTTTTTCTACATAATTAACACTAAATCTAGACTCATTCAAAAATTTTGAAACAAATATATGCCTTAAATTTTCTTTTTGTTTATATATGTTGACAAGAGTGAGAAATGAAGTTGTAAGATGAGAGATACATGGTCTGACCAATTTTGCACCACTAGTATAATTTTTCATCAAGTTAAGAACAAGCCCATGGTTGTATAAGTATCAAGTTAACTCTAAAATATTTTTTATAATATTTTTTTTGCTTCATCCATCTTTAAAATATCCTTCAATATAAAATCAAGACAATGTGTTGCACAATGTTTCCATACATGCACAACCTTTTTTCCATTAGTAATTTGACCAATATAAACCAAAAAAGGTATTCAAATTCTTCAATTTAAGAAAAATAAAATATGTATCTATTTAAATGTAAATAAAATAAATTACGGACCTACAAGAACATAACTGGAGTGATTATATATAACCACTTGAAGTAATTGTCTTTAATTTTTTATATCCATGCATCTAAACGTTCTAACAATATGTATCTAAAAATTCAAAAAATTTCACCGCAACTTTGCATTTTCAGATG